GTTTATTCCAAATAAAAAACATGTTTCCCATCTGATTTACTCCTCTAATTTTATATTTACACGAATTATACATAATTTTTAAATGAGGGCGGAATCCAAGTTTTTGTGGCCGACCAAAATTTGTTTCTTCAGTATTATCGAACTTGGGAAATACATGGTATTTATAAGGATCACGAAAAAACTAACTTTAAATAATTAATTAGCACCAAAATCAATTTAAAGCTTTTAAAAAGTAATATGCTCGATCGCAATTAATAGCTTGATACATTTTTCTTATTAAATGTGGGGGTTATGCATTTTTTTCTGGGCAATCACGATTCGTTTCTTTAGTATTATCGAACTTGGGAAATATATGGTCTTTATAAGGGTTACGAAAAAAATTAACTTTAAATAATTAATTAGCACCGAAATCATGCTTAAAGCTTTTAAAAAGTCATATGCTCGATCGCATTTAATAGCTTGATACATTTTTCTTATAAATTCAATATAAATTTTAAATGTGGGGTTTATGCATTTTTTTCTGGGCAACCACGATTTGTTTCTTCAGTATTGTCGAACTTGGGGAATATGTGGTCTTTATAAGGGTTACAAAAAAAATAACTTTAAATAATTATTTAGCACCAAAATCATGATCAAAGCTTTTAAAAAGTCATATGCTCGATCGCAATTAATAGCTTGATACATTTTTCTTATAAATTCAATATAAATTTTAAATGTGGGGGTTATGCATTTTTTCTGGGCAACCACGATTCGTTTCTTCAGTATTATTGAACTTGGGGAATATGTGGTCTTTATAAGGGTTACGAAAAAAAATAACTTTAAATAATTAATTAGCACCAAAATCATGATTAAAGCTTTTAAAAAGTCGTATGCTCGATCGCAATTAATAGTTTGATACATTTTTTTACATTAATGCCTTTAAAGTGTCAATATTAGAAAAAACATGGGCTCCATATAAATCCAATATTGATAAACAATATTAAAATCCCATTCAAAACTAATATAAGCTCAATATTGAAAACCAATATAATATTAATATAAATAAACAATATTTACCCCAAATTCAAAATTATTATTTAACCCACATTCAAAAATATTATTTAATTCATATAGAAAACAGAATTTAACACATTGATAATATCTTAGTTAATACATAGCTAATCATTGATCAGCTCGATCGTAATTAACAGTTTGATATAAATTTTATATGAATTCAATATAAATTGTAAACATTATATTCACATTTATTTTTTCTTTATTATCGAACTTGAGAAATAAGTAACATTTACATTGGTCAAGAAAATAATCAATTTTAAATCATTAATTAGCGCCAAAAACTTCAATGGTGACTCTTAAAAAACATATTTTTGATCAGAATTAATTAATTAATAGCTAAATTAATTAAATCCATTATTAAACGTAAAGATATGCAAAAATTTTCATTTTCGATTTTCGTCTCATTACTATAACTACCCTATGGGAAGTTAAAAAAGCAATAAATAATTTAACTATATTGTATTTATTTATTAACTATATTATTTAACGACATTGTAAGTATGCCATCATTCAGTAAACAAAACAAAAACAAAATTATACAAGATTATAATAGTGCAAAGGTATCAGAATATATATATTAAATTTAAATAAAAAAATTCTAAACGAGAAAAAAATGTAAACAAAATGTTTGATGAAAAAAATCAAAACTCCGAATAAAATAAAAGTTAAGTAATAAAATTTTGTGGTTAGTTACATGACTTGCTTAAATTTGTTTTACCCTCGTTTAGTATGTATTAATATTATTTAAATCTGTTATATCTACTAGTAATATATCGATTTATATTTATAAATTTAGATGTTTTATATTTATTCATAGAATAAAAATTTCTGAAATTGCATCATATACATGTAGGCATGACCATACCAGATAAATGTACGAACATCTGTTTTTGAGAAACTTCTCAAGAGTGTCTCTTCTTTCTTTCATATAACCGATATTTGTATAAGACTATAGAATACGATGCGTGTCCTTTGTCCTATGTGTCCCTACGACGAAATATTCTACCTGACTGTGTCAGTTGTGGCCGAAATTATTTTATACGTATTTTATGAACTAATATTTTGTCATTGCAATTTTGTTTTAGTTACATATTTTTACATTTTTTAATAGCAATTATTATTTATATTACTATACTAGTTTATTATTTATATTAATGTTATTTAAGAGTAAAAGTATAATTAAAAAATTGATTCAAATGCAGAAGATGATTTCTTACAATTTATTATTGCGTACATAGAAAAAGAGTGTGATTAAAAAAAGTTTGTTGGTTAGTTCTTAAAGAAGGAAAGTATCCATAAGCCCCAAAACGTAAAATAAATAAGTAAAATATTAATCTTGTTTTGTGAAGATAAAATCTATTTAATATATTTAAGAAAAAAATTCTTTTTAATAATAAATCTAAACATATAAAACGTTAAAAATGTAAATATATTTGATATAATAATAATTAAAAGCGTTTTTATTAATTTTGTTTTGAATATTTTCTAAGTAACGTTTCACAGATTATGTAACTTACTATCTACTATTACTTATCTCATATTGAAATTAATAAAAAAGGAATTATGTATAAACTTTACTGACTACAATACTGAATAAACTAATAACGACAAATTAATGAACGTATAGATGTTGGGTCTATATATAATTTATATTTATAATTAAAAGAACTGAATAACGTGTATATAAGTTTAATTTATAATAACAAAACAAGTATAAAGCATCTCACTGATATAAAGTGTATTTAGGTTAGGTTTTATATCTTCACTCTTCCAAGGGTTGATGCACGAGAGGGTGAGATTGCATTTTTCGCATCCCTCGAGCCCACGCAAGTGTTGCACGATGCGCCGTCGCCAACTTGACAGTTTGCGACGTTCTTCACACGCAACGTGTCTATGAAGTTGGTATTGGCGTTTCTGGTTGTTACTCTCGCCGCTAGGTGTAGGGAGACGCCATATCACTCCCCCCAAGATGAAGGTTAGCTATCTGTCAGAATAGAAATAAGGTTAAATGTGTGTTGTCAAATATTGAACGCAACTTTCTTTTTGGCTGTTTTCTTTGTAGGTTCCTTTGATGACTCCCAGGGATGTGTATGAAGTGGTTGAGAAAGTGATTCGTAATCTGCATCTGTTTTATTTATATATGCTGGTTTTAGTCTTTCAACAGCGAAGTTCTTTGCGGCCCCATTAACGCGAAGTTTGTAAATCCTATCAGAAACTCGCTCAAGTATTTCATAGGGTCCTCTGTAAGGTGGTTCCAAGGGCTTTCGTACATGATCTGCTCTGAGGAATACATGTGTGCATGTGCCCATATCTTTCAAAATGAAAATCTTGGATTTGTTGTGGTGGGCTGTTGGAGTTGGTTTCAATGCACACATGATTCGGCGATGATTCTCTAGAAAGACATGTGGATTCTGTGAGTTATTAGATGTATTGAAAAAATCACCTGGAAGTCTCAGTGTGGTTCCGTAAACCATCTCTGCTGCTGATGTCTTGATGTCTTCCTTGAATGAATTCCGTAGACCAAGTAGTACGTAGGGTAGTGTCTTGATCCACGGTTCAGAAAAACACATCAGTGCAGCTTTTAGGGTTCTGTGCCAACGTTCTACTAATCCATTTGCTTGAGGGTGGTATGCTGTCGTACGTACTTTCTTTGCACCAACTGCCTGTGCCAAGGACTTGAAGAGAGATGACTCAAACTGCGTGCCTTGGTCTGATGTTATTGTAGTTGGTGTACCAAATCTGGAAATCCAGCACGTAAACAATGCCTGCGTGACTGTCTCAGCTGTGATGTCTCTCAGTGGGATGGCTTCCGGCCATCTTGTAAATCTGTCAATAATTGTTAAGCAGTAAGGAAAACCATTAGTATTGGGTAAGGAAATTATGTCAATATGAATATGAGAGAATCTTTCATCAGGAATAGGGATGTGCAAAGGATTGAAATGATTATGTTTATGGATCTTGGACTTTTGACAGGATATGTATTGACGAGTCCAAGTAGCAACATCCTTTCCAATTCCAGGCCAAACATACCGGCTGCGTACCTCCCTGGATGTGGTCCTGATGCTTGGATGAGAAATACCATGGACTACGTCGAATGCAGTTTTGCGGAGGCTCTGTGGGAGATAAGGTTTAACAAAGTTTGACTCAATTATACAATAGATCGGAAAACCATCCAATGTTAATTTATGTAATCTAAGAGAAGTTTCTCCACCAAGCAGCTCCTGCATTTCTGGATCCAAGCTTTGCTCTATACATATTTGTTCAGCCGACAGTCTGTTAGGCATTTCAATAGTGTTAATTCTTGATAATGTATCTGCCACTACATTTTCTTCACCTTTCACATACACAATTTCAGTAGAGAACTGGGATATGTATTCCAATTGCCTACGCTGTCTGTCCGACGCCTTTTCAGGTCTCTGCTGAAATGCATATGTGATGGGTTTGTGGTCTGTCTTGATAATGAAATGCCTACCTTCCAGCAGGTATTCAAAATATTTTATGGCCGCAAAGATGCCTAGAAGCTCTCGGTCATATATTGAATACCTCTGTTCCGTGGATGTGAGCTTTCTGGAGTAGAAACCTATAGGGTGCCATGCACCATTTTCTTCCTGCTCCAGAGTGGCTCCAATGGCTGTTGTTGACGCATCTGTTACTAAACATATATTTGTTGCAGCAGCTGGATAATGAAGTAAAGCGGCGTTTGCAAGAGCATTCTTTACGTCCTCAAAGGCTTGCAGAGATTCTGGGTTCCAAATGACAGGTGTTTTATCCTTCTTGACTGAACTACGTAGGTAACTGTTCAGCGGTGCTTGCAGTTTGGCTGCTTTTGGGACTGATTTCCTGTAATAATTCAGCATTCCCAGAAACCTACGCAGTTCCAGAACTGTTGTTGGCTGTGGGAAGTTCAAAATCTTGTCCACCCGGTCTGTAGCTGGAGAATAGCCTTACTCACTGAGCTTGTAACCCAGAAAATCTACTTGGGACTTGCCTAGGACGCATTTGTTGGTGTTGATGGTTAGAGAATGTTCTTGCAAACGCTCAAAAACTATCTGCAGGTGGCGATGGTGTTGCTCCATGTTCTCAGACATAACCAGAATATCATCCACATATATAAACACAAAGTCAATGTCTTGGAATATGTGGTTTATGTAGCGCTGGAATGTCTGAGTGGCATTCTTCAGTCCAAAAGGCATGCAGAGGTACTCATATAATCCCCATGGAGTTATGATGGCAGTCTTCTGTATGTCCTCTTCATGCATCGGCACCTGATGATACGCTTTTGCAAGATCTATTGTTGAAAAAATTGTTTTATTGTGCAGGTTTGTAAAAACATCACTGATTAGTGGAGGAGGATATTTGTCTGGTTGCGTGCTTGAATTAAGTTTTCTATAGTCACCACAGAGTCTATAAGATCCATCCTTTTTTGATACCATATGTATTGGACTTGCCCACGGACTGCTTGAAGGTCTCAAAATGCCCCTGTTCAGGAGATTTTGTATCTCGGCTTTTGCAGCTGATGCTTTTTCGCCAAAAATCTTCCTGAACCGGGCAGCAACTGGTGGACCTGTTGTGGTAATCCTGTGTGCGAAAGGAGATGGTTTAATTGTTAGTCTCTGTGGCGTTCTAGTGATTGTTATATATTTGTTTAGTAAGCTTCTGAAAGGTTGGTGTGGGTTAATTGTGGAAATGTTAATGTTCTGGGTCTTCAGCACTTTGCCATCAGAGGCTAAGCCTGTCGTTGAATCAATTAGTCTTTTGCCTTTCAGGTCTATTAGTAGATTGTAGTAGCTTAGCAAGTCTGCACCGATTATGGCTGTTGCCACATCTGCTACTGTGAATTGCCAAGTGAAGGGTCTGCGCAGCGAAAGGTCCAGCTCGAGAGTCCGCTTTCCATAGGTGGATATTCGGCTGGAATTGGCTGCATACAGAACAATCTCTTCCTTGGCACGACCGGTTGCAAACTTGCTAGCTGGAAGAATCGAGAGAACGGAGCCAGAGTCTATAAGAAAATTTATCCGTGTTTTTCTGTCTGTCACACATAGTCGGAGCTCTGGACAGACAGAATTAATATCACCATCATTACTTGCTCCTGGTGTTGATGGTGACTTTAGTTTTCCGGCTTCAGGAGAGTCTTAACCAAACAGGGTTCTATGCATTTGGTAGCCTTCTCTCCAAACCTGCTATGGTAAAAGCATAGCTGTGATTTGGACGGCGTCTTTGATCTCCCTCTCCTGTGCCTGGAGTGACTTCTGGTCCTGCTTCTCTCGTCATGTTCTCTGCTATGTTTTAAATTCTCCACTTCTGTCGTCAAGGCATTTAGTTTCTGCATCATGGCAAGCAGAATTTCTTGGGTGCGGTCACTTCTTGGTTCAGGTGCTCTGCTCGCTGTGGCCATCACCGATGATGGCAGTCCACAAGTATCTACAAGCCTGTCTGCCATCTCGCCAATGGCTTGTAGCCCAATGTTTTTCGATACAAGCAGTAGAGGCCGGATGTGTTGTGGGAGTCTGTCCAACCAAAGTTTATGGATGATATCCTCCGAGATTTCACTCCGAGCCAGGTCAATCATTTCCCGTAGTAGCTGGGATGGCTTTTTGTCACCTAGGACAACGTTTGTTAACAATTTGTCTACTTGCTTTGACCTCGACTCGGATACTCGGTCTAGGATTATGCTCTTCAACGTGTTGTATTTATTTTCGGTTGGCGGATTTCGCAACACATCGCTTACCAGGTGTAAAGTAGACCTGTCCAGAGCACGCAATACCGCCGTATACTTCGCATGGTCGGATTTGATCCTATCTCCAAGAAACTCTGTCTCAATCAACAGGAACCATAGATCAGGAGCATCTTCCATGAACGGGGTTATTGTATGCCTGCCCACGTTGTAAATTTGTTCCGTTTTTAAATCATTGTTCACTTGGTTGGAGTTGCTCGCACATGGCGTGCGAACTTGAGTTTCGTCAAAATCGATGAGCGATCGATTTAGATCTTGTGAGGCTTCAGTGTTTGCGGGTGAAGACATTATTAATGATATAGTATACCTCGCTTGTAGTATCAAGATCAGAATTCAGCCACGTGTTTTCTCAGTCGCGGTCACCAATTATATAGATGTTGGGTCTATATATAATTTATATTTATAATTAAAAGAACTGAATAACGTGTATATAAGTTTAATTTATAATAACAAAACAAGTATAAAGCTCACTGATATAAAGTGTATTTAGGTTAGGTTTTATATCTTCACTCTTCCAAGGGTTGATGCACGAGAGGGTGAGATTGCATTTTTCGCATCCCTCGAGCCCACGCAAGTGTTGCACGATGCGCCGTCGCCAACTTGACAGTTTGCGACGTTCTTCACACGCAACGTGTCTATGAAGTTGGTATTGGCGTTTCTGGTTGTTACTCTCGCCGCTAGGTGTAGGGAGACGCCATAAACGTAAACTTCGTAACAGATAATGATACAAAAACAAAAAAACCTGTTAGAACCGCCCTTTGATTAACAATGCTACACCTACACCAGCAATCAAAGCACAAACCAAACATTTTGAGTTTCGCATTTTTCAGTAGAAAGAAATTTGTTACGCAGTTCATTTAGCAATTCTTCATCCTCTGCAGGCCTAGGAGTAATATCTTGATATTGTTTATTTCGACTTTGAAACATTATATGATAAAGCTTTTCAGCCACAAGATTTATATTTACGTTCTGGTTTTATTTTTTCGACTTGTGGCTGAAAAACTTTATCATATAATGTTTCAAAGTCGAAATAAACAATATCAAGATATTACTCCTAGGCCTGCAGAGGATGAAGTTTTTATTTATCAAGATTTTGAGTTTTCACGAATTCTGTTTTATTTTATTTTGTTACTTTGTTTTATTACTCTGTTTGTTTTTTAGCTGAATGATGAGCTAGCAGAATAGCTCGAAACGTATTAAAAAGATTTATATTTACGTTCTGGTTTTATTTTTTCGACTTGGGACTGAAAAACTTTATCATATTATATATATATATATATATATATATATATATATATATATATATATATATATATATATATATATATATATATATATATAGATATATATATATATATCTATCTATCTATATCTATATATATATCTCTATATATCTCTATATCTATATCTATATATATATATAGATATATATATATATATATATATATATATATATATATATATATATATATATATACAGGGTGGCTGATATGTATTGCAACCAGTTTTAGAACGCTATCATTTCTAAACCGCTCATCAGACAGATGACAGATTTATTTCAAAAGCATTTCGATCTAATACATTCAAAAAAAAGTTATTAGTGATGGAAGTCAAGCGTGATAGTGCGATTGCTTCATATTTGGCTGGAAAACCTTAAGTGGCTATCTTTAGAGCCCTCCAGCATTTAAATGCGAACAAATATTTTGTTTCTCGTACCATATCTCGTAACAGTGATACACTCAGTGTTGCACCGCGTTCAAAAAGTGGACGAAAAAAAACACTTACAACACCAGAAATTATCCAAAATGTATAGGCAAAAATCGATCGAAATTGGGGTCGTATTGGTAAAAAAAATGGTTCGTGATCTGAACATATCGCAAAAACGGATGCAACACATATTGAGAAATAAGCTTTGACTAAAGCCACTGAAGTTCTAAAAAGTGCAAGAGCTCATCGATGCACAAAAAAAAGTTAGACGGGAAGGAACCAAGGGGTTGCTTCGCTTGCACGAAAGTGGCTAGTTACCTAATTTGGTTTTCTCAGATGGTAAGTCATTCCAAATGAAGCTATTTGTGAACAAACAAAATGATAGGGTTTACTTGCCAAAAAGGTCAGCTAAAAATTTACACCTTCGATTGGCCACCAGAGCTCAAGGGCCGCCGACGGTAACGGTGTGAACCACCGTAACGGCCGATTGTAACATTCCGCTTTTATTCATCGACCGTGGGATCAAAATAATTGCCGAAATTATCGAGAAAATGTCTTAAAGGCAGTATTGAAGTCCTAGGTATTCAAACATTTTGGCCGCAGACCATGGACAATCCAACAGGACTCAGCACCATCAAACTCAGCACGCGTCAACAGAAAATGGCTTAAAAAAGAGGTTTTTCGCTTCATTTCCATCGCACAATAGCGACCAAAACCTCTGGATCTAAATTCGTTGGACTTTTGTGCCTTGGACATTTTGGAGAGTAAGGTTCGCACTAAAAAATACCAAAGTGTCGATCATCCCAAGAAGGCGCCTCGCCGGAAATGGGCCAAAATACCCCAGAACCACTTTCGTGCAGCTCGTTATGGTTTTTCTGCCGTTTGAAGGCCATAATTCGTACCAATGGTGGCCAATTAGAACACATCTCAACTGATTCTAAAATTTGATGTCATTTCCGAAATTTTTGCGCTGTGCAGGTGTGTGTGATAGTGGTGTTAGGTATTCGATATAAATGAAACATTATTTAGAGCATATTGGTAATTTTTGCAGATGAAGCTGGTGTCTCTTCGTTTGTTTAAACAATTTTTGTTCAGAAAATTATAGGCCGATTTTGAAAAGCGTCTTTTGACTCATGATGAAGAACCTTTGCGTCATAAAAATTGAACGTATGGTTATTTAGTTTTAAATGTTCTGTGATCATTGTTTGCCCTTGATTTTGGTTTATTGAGTTATTATCGTGTTGTTTTAAACGTTTGATGAGGTTCTGTCCTGTTTCGCCAATATAGGTAGAATCACAGCCAGAATCATTGCCAGATATTTTATAGACCACATTGGATACTCGTTCCAAACTAGTGCGCGGCTTTAAATTTGAGAAGAGGGAATTGAGCGTTAAATCTATGTAGCATACTAAACGGATATTTGCGTTATAAAAAAGTTTTTTCCACATCGGATAAAGTTCCTTGAGGTAAGGCAGCCAAATGGTACCTTCAAAATTATTATCCTTTGTGAAAAATAATTTCAGGTTGGAGTTAATTAGTTTGTTTTTTAAAATAGTGAATCTATTGTTTGTGACGGATTTTATAAGATGTGGGGGATAGGAATTTTGTGTGAGGGTTTTGAAAATTAATTCTAAGTTTGAGGTCCAAAATTGTTTGTCAGAAAGGAGGATAGCATGGTCTACTAGATTAATGATAGTACCAATTTTCATATCTGTAATAAACATAGCTGTAATAAAAATAGCTGTCTATGCTGATGGAATTAAAAACTCTGGTTTCTAAATGTTGTAAAGATAATTCTGCTATGGCTGGGGATATAGAAGAGTACATGGGGGTGCCAAAAATTTGAAAATAAAGTTGGCCATTAAATTCAAAGTAGGTGTTCGTGATTATGAATTTGATCGATTCTAAAAACCAATGTAATAAAAGTGTAGTATAACAAGAAATTTCATTCCATCTAGCTGTTATAGAATCTAACATTAATTGTAAGGGGACGTTGGTGAAAAGGAAAACAACATCTAGACTTACTAATAAAGTTTTGTGAGGTAAGACTAACCCGTTTAATTTATTTACAAATTTAAAAGAATTTTTTTATGAAATGAGGGGATCGGACAGTTATGATGGAGAGTATATTGCTTAGAAATTTTGAGAATTTGGAGGAGAATTTATGTCAGCGACTATGGGTCTAAAAGGAACGTCTTGTTTATGAATTTTAGGAAGACCATAAAGTTTGGAATCATAGGGATGTAAATTTTTTAAAGAAATTTTTATTTTTGCTTATGTATATTTAGTTTTTAACATTACTTTCTGTTTTTTTCAAAATTGTAGAACCACTGACGATGACGTAGAATTTTACGTCGAAAAGTACGGAAAAATATAGATGTTTTAAAAAATCTTTAATTATTTATATTTTTTACTTGATGTTACGCCCTCCAAAAAATTAATCATTCATTTCAACATCAAATTTAAACACTTTCAACATATATATATATATATATATATATATATATATATTATATATATATATAAAAGAGGATCGCTTTATGTTATAACACTTATAACTCACGAACGGCTGAAACGATTTAGATGAAAATTGGCAGGGAGGTAGTTTAGAGCCAGGAGAAGGACTTAGGATACTTTTTATCCCTTTATTTCATTCTAATTCAAAATTAATTATTTATAAACTATCCATGTAGTTTATTCAATCTATGATACTGTCAATGATTTCATCCATGACATTTACATTCGATTGTCAACTGTCATTCGGTGTTTCTGTTTTGATACAAATATATTAATATGCATTTCTTAATGACCATTATTTGAAAATTATTACGTGAATAATATAAATATTTTAATCGCCACGGAAAATTAATACAAAGTGGCAAATAAATTAATTCTTAATAATAGCAAGCGATGCTGGATGGACGATGGGGAAATTTATTTCTTGAAAATGGAAATGTAATTATTTATATAATTAGGTATTTATGTATATTTGTTTATACGTATTTAAATAGATAATTTGAGGTGTTTATATTATATATCAGCAATAAGTATAATCATCAACAAATTAATAAAAAAAAATATTCTGAAATATAGTTTCTTGACATAACCTCAAAATTTGTAATAAAAATGTAAATAGTTATACATTAATTGTTGTTAATTTGTAATTTCTTTATACATATCTTATAAAATGTTTCAGGTGTTTACAACTAATTGGCATATATATATTATCAGCAAATGTGCTTTGATTCGACAATAAAAAGGTCTAATTGAAGTAATCGACTACCTTAAGTTAACTATAGTGATAGAATATTAGTTTTTGGTTCTCATATATTATAACCCAGCTATAAACCTCACGGAGCCCCAGACCTTTCCAGCGAATGCAAAATTGTCGAATTCGGTTTGTGCATTCTGGAGTTATATCGTCAGAACTTATAACTCAAGAAGGCTGAACCGATTTAACTGAAAATTGACTTTGGTAAAGTTGGTAAAAGTTGGTTCAGAGCCAGGAGAAGGACATAGGATACCTTTTATCCCGTTCGACTTGGAATAACAATAAGCAAATGACAGCTATGTAATCACGT